CAACAGGGTGGGGCTAGCAGTTATGGCTGCTCTCAGCCCTGCCCTCAGAGGCTCTGCTTCTCAGTGTCCTGGTAATTGCTGCAAGCCCCTTGGAGAGAAAGCTGCCCTCAGTTCTGACCACTGCCAGACAGTCCCGCTTCTCCTGTATGAGTCTGGGTCTCTAGAGACTAGCCCGGAACTGGAGCTCAGAGCCTGAGACTCCCTCCCAATTGAAAATGACAACCATGCCCCCAGCGGCCAACCCGCTCCGCATGCATCTCTGCACCTTAGTATTTTAATTCCGTACCGCACCTCCTCTGAGTCTCTATATGCTTTTCTCTTTCCTTCTAGTTGTAGAATTTCCACTCAGCCAGCCTTCCTATGGTTCTGGATGATGCCCATTCCGTCGTTTAGTTGTATTTTTGAAGTGGTTGTGCAAGGCAGCAATCTCCGATGTTTACCTATGCCGCCATCTTGGTTTGTCCATGACCTCATTATTGACTGTTGGACTTAAACAGATGCTTTAAGGAGCCTGCTTAAGCATTTGACTGTACAGGAAGATCATGACTACTGCCAGTGGGGGCCGATTTAATGTCACGAGAGGCTGAGATGCATCAAGGATCTGTTTCCTGTGAGAGAATTCTCATTTCTCCATGGAGCGTGTACATAACAATTTTGACCATCTTATCTGTTCTTCAACTTTGCATTTTTATTTAAGGAGCCTGCTTAAGCATTTGACTGTACAGGAAGATCATGACTACTTCCAGTGGGGGCCGATTTAATGTCATGAGAGGCTGAGATGCATTGAGGATCTGTTTCCTGTGAGAGAACTCTGATTTCTCCATGGAGCGTGTACATAACAATTTTGACCATTTTATCTGTTCTTCAACTTTGCATTTTTATTCAAATATTATCTCTTTCTCTTTTGAAAAACACACTATTATTTATGTGGCAGGGTCCTTGCTTTCTTTTAGCAGCATGTGTACATGTCTAAAGGAGGCTGTGTAGTTTACATGTTTCATTTTTTAAAAAACATCTAGAGAGCCCAGACCGGTTTTGTTCAGTGGATAGAGCATCGGCCTGCGGACTCAGGGGTCCCAGGTTCGATTCCGGTCAAGGGCATGTACCTTGGTTGCGGGCATGTCCCAGCGGAGAGTGTGCAGGAGGCAGCTGATCGATGTTTCTCTCTCATCAATGTTTCTGGCTCTCTATCCCTCTCCCTTCCTCTCTGTAAAAAATCAATAAAATATATTTTAAAAAAATCTAGAGCGGTTGTATTTACCTTCCCAAGGTTGGAAGGCATGGGAATTTCCTATTTTTCCACTAAAGGAATCTGTGTAAGTAGATAAATCATATATAGTGTGAATATATATCTAATCTTGTATGAAAGAGTTGCAACTGATTTTCATATGAGGATGTTTTGTGATGTAAATGTAATGCCACATTATAGGTAAAGTCTCCCTGCATTTGAAGAGCAGGTTTTCATTTATATGTATTTTTGGGATAAAAAATAATAAAATTTGTAAATATAAATAAATAAATTAATTAATTAAATAAATTCTGCTTCTGCCCCACCCTGTGTGCACACAAACACACACCACGAGGCCATCTTATTACATTCTAAAGTCTATTTCTCATCAACAGTTCACTTCAGTGTTTTGCACTATCTTTGCTCCAATATTTTTCCCTCCAAGTTCTAAAATGTTTTCAAAATTACTTTTTAAAGACTCAGAAGAGTGAGGACACTAAAAATCATAGTATCAAAACTTGGAATGGTTTGACTTGCCAGTAGGAATCCAATAGTATTTATATATCCATTAGTGTCTCTGATTTTGAGGCTTAGTCTAGTTTCATTATTAATAAGGCTTTCCTTGTATTAGAAATAGAATTACCTTTCTAGAATGCTAACATTAGTGCTATGGACTAAATGTGACCTCCTTCTCCAAATTTACATGTTGAAGCCCTAATTTCCAATGTGATTCTATTTGGAGGTGAGGCCTTTGGGAAGTAATTAAGTCATGAGGGTGGAGCCCTCTGAATGGGATTAGTGCCCTTATTAGACACAGAGAGATGATCTCTCCTCTCCACCATGTGAGAATTCAGCAAGAAGGTGGCCATTCACAAGCCAGGAAGAAGGGCCTCACCATGAACTAAATCAGTCAGTGCCTTGATCTAGGAACTCCCAGCCTCCAGAACGATGAGAAATAAATGTGCATTGTTTCAGCCTCCTAGGCTGTGGTATTTTGTTATAGCAGCCCAAACTGACTAAGACAATTAGACTAAGAGGTATTCAGGGAACAACAAGCTTTTGTCCACTCAATATGAATCTGAAAGAAATAGTACCTTTGTGACTCATGGATGCCTTATCTCTTTGCCTCCACAGTATTGCTTTTATAAGTTAATTTCATATAATGGTTTTAACCCACCATTGCTGCAATTGACTTGATCTCTTAGGAAACAGGTTATAAAGAGGAAAATTTAATTGAATTATTGTTTTCTTGGAAAAGGCTGAGCAAATGGATATGGTGAGATTGCACAATATTATGAGTATATTTAATGCCACTGGATTGTACACTTTAAAATGATTAAAATGGTAGTTTTATGCTATATATATTTTACCACAATGAAAAAGTCTAAGCATATATTAAAAATACACAGACAAGTCAAATACAGCAATGAAAGAAAAAGCCATTGATCAGTAAAAGGTTATATTAGTCAGTATAATAATTATTTAATATATTAGTCAGAACTCTTTGGTTCTCAAGCATAAGAAAGGAAACTTAAATTTGCTTAAAGAGAATGTATTGGCTCATGTAACTTAAAGTAAAGGGATATTTTTAAATTTTATTTCAGGCCTGGCTTGATTCAAATAATCAGTGCTATCATGACTTCTCTATCTATTGGCCGTGCTTTCCTCTATGCTATTTTCGTTCTCATGCAAGTTCTCCCCAGATGATGGTAATAGTAACTACCCACAGCTTCAGGCTTATATCCTATCACCTTAGCAACCACTGCAGAAAGGGAGTGACTCTCTCCCCATAGTTCCAATAAAAACCCTAGAGCTAATTTCATGGTCTGGTTTGGATCAGGACTAATTCCTGAACCAATTACATATCTAGGGGGATGGAATGCTCTAATTACCCAAGCCTTAGCTTTAGAGACGGGTAATAGAATCAGCCCATCTAAACTACCTGAACTGGGAGTGGGGGAGGGTGACTCCCTAAGGAAATTGAATGCTACCAAATGAAAGGACCATAGATGTTCATAGATGTCCAGTAAGGGCACAGAATAGAGACTCAGACATGTTTGCAAGAAAAATAAAATAAAATCTAATAAAAACATTTTGAGACTAGAGGCAGAAACAAAATTCCCTAACTTTGATAATATTCCATTATTAGGTATTTGCTTGCTTGCTAATTTTTTGACCCTGCATTCCTCTATTGCTACCTCTTCTCTCTGTCTCTTTTCTTTTTGGCCAAGATTCTTGAAAGATTTGTGATTTCCATTTAGAATTGTCTTCGGAAATCATGAACTCTTAAGACTACAACTCCACTCCCTTTCTCTTTTACCAAAAGTTAACATAATGGGCAGCCAAATGCTACCAAAATGAGAACATCCCACATGTGAGATATCATTTGAATCTGTATTTTTGGCCTCATACTTCATCACTTCCTCAGACAACTTCTGTGAGTGAAGGAAGAAATCAACTTTTACTGTTTACAATTACATATTATACCTTCTGTGTCTTTTCCTTTTTTAATTTTATTTTTCAATTACAGTTTATATTCAATATCATTTTGTATTAGTTTCAGATGTACAGCATGGTAGTTAGACAATCGTATACTTTACAAAGTGTTCCCCTGATATTTCTAGTAACCAATTGACACCATAAATAGTTATTACAACATTATTAACTCTATCCCCTGTGCTGTACTTTACATCCCAAAACTATTTTGTAACTACAAATTAGTACTTTTTAATCCCTTCACCTTCTTCACTCAGCTCCCCCCACCTTTCTTTCCTCTGACAACCATCAGTTTGATCTATCTATAAGTCTGTTTATATTTTGTTTGTTCATTTGTTTTGCTCTTTAGAATCCACATATAAGTGAAATCATATGGTATTTTTCTTCACTTAACATAATACCCTCTAAGTCCATCCATGCTGTTGCAAATGGTAAGATTTCATTCTTTTTTATAGCTGAGTAATATTCCATTATATATACCATAACTTTTGATCACCTAGCCTATTGGTAGGCACTTGTCTTTTCTTGATGCTCAATTGTTCATCTTAGAGGAGGGCCACCAAACCAAGCAGATAAAGCATTAACTTCCAGCTTCTCAATTCCTCAATGTGGCACTAATAGTGCAAAATGGTTAACACACTCCAGGCTCATTTGACTTTGTCCTTGGGTTATCACTCCAGGCACACATGCACACACACTTCTTAATGCCTTGCCATGACCAGAAAGCCGGGAAGATAGTTGCATGATGGTAAGCAAAACACTAACCATGTAGCTAACAGAATATCACTTAAATCCTTCCCAACACCCCCAAATCATTTTATTTCCCATCCTCACAAAACTATCGGGAAATATAATCACATGATTTATGTACTGAGCAGAGGAAATAACCCTAGTCTAGATAACACATCACCTTTCCTCCATGTTAAACTGAGGATTTTGTCATCATTATTTCATTGGACCAAACAACAGTCAGGAAGGGGAAAGCTAGCTTTTGAGATCCATGTTTAAAATACATACATGCTATCTTGAGTACATTTGTGAGATAGAGCAGACAGGGCGCAGGGTTCATCTTTTCTCATCAACAATCTACTAACTCAAGGACAAATTCACCTATCTTCACCTTGGGTGCCCGGAAGAGAGAGAGAAAGAGAGAGAATTTTAGTATTACATTAAAATATCATAAATTTAAATAGCAGGAATTGTCAGGAAGGGGCAGTCATTATGACGACACTGGAATAGGGAAGGAAAGTCCCAAATGAACTCACAGTCATTGGAAAGAATATTAAAAGGGAAAATAAGATTGAAAAAAGGAAAGACAGGCAAAAGCAGATATACTTGTGATTCAATCTAGGAGAGATGAAGAAAACTGAAGCCAAATAGGTATTGTGCCTATTAGGGAAGAAGTAATTGAAATGTGGTGAAAATGGGTTCATAAAGCAAGAGGATCCTGCCATGCTATAGCATGAAACCAAATCCTGTAACTTAGAAATTGGGAAGAGATGAGAGAAGCAGGCCGGGAAATAGCTCCCTCAGTCAAACCCAATCGAATGGACTATATTAAAGTTGTTCAATGTTGTTCCATCGCAGGTTTACAAATTTCTCTGCATCTCTTATACTATTGTAGTGACATTATTGTAATTAGCTAATTATGAATCATAGAAAAGAAGCAACATGAAGGCCAGGCATTATAGGCATGTTCTCTGCAAAACGTTGGGGGAAGGGGACTGGACAAAGGGTAGACAGACGCATGCCTGGTAAAGTTGGGATGCCATAGTGCAGGTGTTTGCTGTCAGTCACACCTGGGAACAGACGTCATTGGCCAGAATGGGTGTGGCCACTGCAAGCCCTTGAAAATTTGGGATACATAGCCCCCTAAACAAAGAAGTTCACTCTCTTGTGCTCTTGCTTTCTGGGGACTCATGTGACTCCAGATTTGTGGGGCTCTTTTGCTCCTGATTCCCCGCATTCATCCACACGCAATGCACTAATGGACTGCAACTAGCCTGATGCTGTACTGGACCTGCCTCCAACATGAAAAGAAAACTCTGGGCACTGGCTTTGCTTTCAGCTTTACTTAAACTTCAGCTACACTTCTATGAC